ACGAGGAAGTTCTCCTCAAGCAGCTCCTAAAACTGTTAACCTGCTGACTGAGAATATAGTAAACTTTGTATACAGAACAATATAGCCTAATTATTAAATAAAATTTTTATTGAGATATTTTTTGGACAAACAAAGTGTTTCGAGGACCATTTCCCTGCACAGAATCGGAAAAAAGGGCCTTTGTCTACTCTGATCTACATGGAACATGTTGCAAAAAAGACTGGAAGTTAAATGAACTGATTCTATTGAGCACTTTTAAGTCCAGACTGAGGGAACTAGAGATGACTTCTTTGACTTGTGAATGTTTTTGTTTGTATGGCATTTTCACTGAGAAACTTTTTGTAAATGTTGTATAACTTTTGCTGCCTCTTGGCCAGGACTCAATTGAAAAAGTTTTTTTTTATTATTATTATTTTTTATTTCAATGGGACTTTCCTGGTTAAATAAAGGAATAAAATAAAATAAAGAACCATCAGCATTATACTCAGGTCAAAACTGCACTGTTATGTCCATTTGTTGTCAATTTAAGGAAAACGTGACACTGATTACTTTGAAAATCCTTCTAGAATTACCTTTTTAAATCGGCAAGTAGATCTGTAACTAAAATATATTTTAAGCTAACYAACATGCTGTTTTGTGTTAAAAGATAAATGTGGGCAGTTTAACATTCATAAAGAGCCAAGAGAGAAGACGCTTCAGCAGAATATCCAACACTGGGGGGTGTAAATAAATAAAATTGGCACATCATCTGATTTATCTTCTAGGGATGCATAAATTCCTTGACAGGTGACTGACAGACCCACCACCCACTCAAAAATTAATACGTTAGTATTAATGAAAACACAATCCACAATAGTTAAGCAGTTAATTAGCGAYAGAAACAGCCTATTTTTAGTGAGAATTTTTTCGATARTTCAAATTTARCCATTTGTAAGTTGAGTTGCACASCACCCAACCAACCAACCAACCAGAAAAAAACTATTATTCCAGTAACAGTATGAATTGCAATAAACCCACATGTTCCTGTCTCCTTATTTTTTTTCTTGTCATCACTATCAATGTTAACCAGATGTGGCCATCAAAGGCCAGTGAGAGTCTGTTGGATTTATCAAAAATAGTATTACACAGAGAATTAATTCATGGTATTTGTAACATAGTCAGAATAACCATATCAAACYCTTTCAATATAAAAATATCAAAACCTTTCAGTGCATATGTGTGTTTCTTAAGGATCATTTGCAAGTATGACTGTATATCACAGTCAATAGAAAGGCAGGTGTGTAAAGGACCAAAAGAATGGAGTTGTAAGCTGACCTTGAACATAAGAATGTATTAATAAGCACATGGTGTCTGATTTTACGTATGAGCATTAGTAACTGTGCAAAAGGTCAATCAAAAAGTTGTTTTTCAAGATACCTTTCTGCTTTTCAACTGTGTAAAATGCCTTTTGTTCAACTCTTCTCTCAGTCACACGCCAGCATCCTTATGAGCAGAGCAACACARGCTTGAGCAATGACAGCCATTAAGATGCTAAAATGACACATATATAGACCCATGTTACATTGTGACACAAAATTTCAAGATCCAGTAATGAAGGGAGAAACTCAAGCCAGGGATCTAGACCAATTTGGTCGTAAATGTGACCTGATTTTAATAGTGCGACCAGTTCGAGGAGGGGAAGGGGGAGCGGTAGCCTGCCGAAACAAAGTCTCCGTGTCCCATAACAAAACAATCAAGCAGTATCAACATAGCACTCTGAAGTACACGCCTTGTGTGCACACAAACGTTTGTTCTTGAACCTCGTAAGGACCTAACATTGACTACCATTCATTTATTTTAGACTTTATAGCCTAACCCTGACCATTTACCCTAAAATTAACCTCACAGGTACCTAYCTGACCCTAAAACTAACCTAAACCTTGGTCCTAAACCTAACCCCACACCCGTAATTTGCATTTGGACCCACTGGGACCAGGCATTGGTCCACACGAGCCTGCTTTTTTTGGGAAAATTGTCCCCATGTTGTAGGAACAACAAACCTAACCTCACCAGACTGTACGTACCAGGAARATGTAATAAGCAGTTTGATTACTAAACTTCTTTGAGGCAAATTRTCTGMCTCAAAGCTTTGTTACAAATAGAAACCTTTTAACTATTCAGCGCACTTTTGTCTGGCTGGAATGCTATTTGTGTTGCACAATGCTAGCACTTCCGCTGACATATACACTGTTCATGCATGTATGCCAAGTGCTATTTTTAGCTATGGAGGGAGATGAAAAAACAAAACACGTGCTCAAAAATGACAATAMATAGTCAAATATGTGGAAAAATTTTATACTAAACTGAAAAGACAACACAGCRTAGTGCATGCRCTGCACATCCTTGATGTAGCCAGAACCAGCACAGAAAACAGCTGCTGAATTCACGGAAAGCATCCGGGGTTAACAAAAGGTATTGCTTATGTGCCCTTTGCAAAATACATTTACCTAAATCAGTAATAATTTGTCATGTTACACATGCACTACAAGGAGGTTTATTTGGCAAATGTTACATGTACTAACTAATCATAGTGGCTACCTGGCAGGGTTAGGGTTATTTAACAGTGCACAAGCTGTGGGATAAACAGCACCTAATGTAAGTATGTCAAATAACGATAAAAGCACAAGACATTTATTTTTTACTATGCCTCTATTTTTACTTAAGATACATGGAGTGAATATTTCAAGTAAGTGTATTTATAGCAGTTAGTAGGAACTAGTTACTGCTTTTATGACTTTGAAATCTGTCAATACTCTTCATTTATTACTACTGTCATATTTGTTTATAGTTGCGCAGTCAGGACAGAATACTTATTGCCTAAAATGGGAACACTGCACCAACATACATTCTTAATAAAAGTTYGAATTTGCTGCCTTCTAATAAYAACAGTAACAAGTGAACTCTACAAAACTTAATCTGCAAACCTCAAATTTACAGAACCTATTTTACTTAACATAAAGATAACATTCAGATAACATAGGTATTCCAATACATATTTATTTTACAGCATTCATTTAGATTTTTCTGTGATGGTTAAACAAATGATTCAATAGCAGATTGCTTTTAATCAATGGCCCCACAAAGCTCACACACATACAGTAAATACAAGCAATTGGAGCTTAAAATCCATATAGTCAAATACAACTAGTTTAGTAATTTTACTTTAATTGGAGCAAGGTCATCAGCAAGTGTAGATTACTCTATCACAATATTAAATAATTGTATTAATCACTTCAGTTTTTCTTGCTTTTTCCTCTCCACTTTATTGCCTAACCATATATACTACAAATAGTTCAAAGTTTCTCAGTGCAAAAACAGATGCAAACCTGACTGGTTTTACACCTTTTGAAGTTATTTTCTACACCAATTTGCAAGTAAACTTCAACAATACTCTGTAAAAATTTGTACCAACTGATAGCTTTAAAAGGGGACAACCTGGCAAAACGACAAAAACAAAGAACTCAAAATACTAGAAGTATAAAAATAAATAAAACAAATGTTCTAAATCCATGACCGTTAAAATGTAAACGAATAAATTAGGAAAAAGCAATAAGGCCACACTCCAAACAGGTCCCCAGGCTAATGGAAAATTGATGTGAAAACCAGCTTCTAAATTAACTGTGCACAAATTATTTCTTAATGATGCTTAGACTGASTACTGCTTTTTAATTATCCCAGAAGTCACACAATCAATAACCTTTTAAAATGACACATTTTCTAATCCATAATGAATCAGCTTCTTGTGAGGTCAAGAACCCTTTTCTTACAGAGTAACTAAGCAAAACCTGTTGCAGTCTGATCAGACAAACAGCGCAAAGTAAAACACAAAGAAGWATGGTAAAGGGAACAAAACACTCACCATTGATAGGAGTGGTGGCAGGGCCTGTGCGGTTCTGGGAGTTGGCTCCAGCAGACAGGATCCGAGTTAGTCCCAACATAGTCCGGCTAAAATCCCTAAATCCTCTACGAGACAAGTCTCCTTCACCTRAAGGGTGATGGGATAGCGTCCGCGGTCTGAAATGCCTCCAGCGGCATGATTTAATGTTCAAAAGAATCTGACTGAGGTCCACTGGTGTTGATGATGACGACCGGGGTGATGAAGATGAGGAAAAGTTGGCGGCGCTGGTAGAGTCCGAGGTATTGTTTTCTGAGGTACTGGTGTTGCGGAGCAGAGAGCTTACGAGTGGTGAGGCGAGCGGTTCGGGCTCTGGGTCGGAGTCCAGGCTCTGGGTGAGGTCTACATCCGTGTGCGCTCGGTCCAGCAAAATCCTAAAACAAAACCCAACAATCAGAGAACTGCTGAAAAAACAACACTGCATGATATTTGATGGCAAAAAAACACAGGAAACTACAACATCCCTTTTTTTTTTCCTGGCAATCCATTTGTGTAAATACGACATGTGATGGACYACATAAAAACATTTTATTCTCTCACAGCAGTGAACAGAACACTTATGTAACAAACAAAATCTATTTTACAACCAGACAACTTCATAAGACTGGCATGGAAAAATATAAGAACTACTGTTTATAGCATTAAAACAAATTTCTGGTGGGATCAGTTTTGTTCTGACAGTCTATTTGCATCTGTGATAAAGCCAAATAAAACTAATTCTTAGATGCAATTAAATAAAAAGTCTCAACTGTAGAATAAATGTCACTCTGGAACCACAAATTCAACATACATGTAGGAGAATCTATAAATCTTTACTGGGACATTTAACTTTGAAACAACAAAGATCAATGAATTGGCAGCCTGATTAGGGCTGTAATGTCAAACAGAACGAGCTCATTGTTTTCTAAATACATCAAGTGCAACTATYACATACTGAAGAGGACATTTTAATTCAGAGACTGAGCGATCATTCAATCTCCCTCGAGGCAGCTACTAAAAGGTTGCTGTAAACACTAACAGAACAATGAGTCCCTCCAATGTGTCTTTGAAACAGATAAACAACTAGGCAGTTACTTTCACACCTGGCACGGGAAAAAAAATCTAAATTATTTTTGCTTAGGTGTTTCCCACAATGAAAAAAAAAACATCAAATGAAGCTGCAGGACACCACTAAAACTCAGTGGAAGCTATGTTTTTTGATAGCCTGTGGGCCAGAGTGACAGGTAATTTCCCACATTAGGATTGTCATCTTCATCATTTTACCAGCCAGCTTGATATTTATAGTAGAATGTGCCTGCCAAATGGGCGCTGGGTGCCTGCCAAGGAGCTGGTATGCTAAATAACTGCAGCAGTTACAGCCAAATGCTGCCTGAATTTTTACTGAGCACTACTAAAAATTGGCAGCATCCCTTGTAGACATTTCACATTTCTGCCTTTTAAAATCATCATGTGCAGGTTTTCATCCAACCATTTATATTCATGATCGAACAAGTAACACCAAAATATACTTTGATTTTACTGGTAACAAAAAGCAACTTAAAAAATTCTGTTTGTTTAAAGGGAAAAAAAAGAAAGCAAGAAATAATATAATAGTAAACCCCAACTCACCTGCCTCCTCTGCCCAGACGCCGTCGTGCCAAACCTATGCAGCGCTGCGGAGTGTTGATTGAGGTTGGACAGTAGCGGAAGTGTGGGTTTCCGGGCCCACCCTCTGACGGGCTCACCCATGGCCAACTGCCACTCTTGTCTGGACGAGGCTGAAGGAGGAGGAAGGAAAAAACATTATTGTTAAAAAAAAAACAAAACGTTTCTCTTTAAATTTTGTCTGGCAGTGTGAAAAAAAACTTTCCAGGCAGACTGTCTAGCCTGCTGTCAGGTCCATAAATAGAAACAACACAGGAGTCACAGGAGGGCACTCACAGCGTAATATTGACAGCCAGCCTTTCTCCTGAATGCATAGCAACCATCTGGGTCATTCTCCTCCTCTGCCTCGGAGGAACCTGAATGAATCTGTAGGAAAAAAAATACATTGAGAGCCAAGTTTTTCTACTTGTATCATTTTAAACTTAACAAATGAAGATATTAAGATGATGACAGCTTTCATTTGCAATTTTAAAATCACAATGCACCCACATGCCAACAGTGATTCATTTTGGTTTGATATAAAATACCTGTGAGTATGGCTCTTCATCTGAGCTGGGGAAATCATACTGGTTGAGGTCCTTGGGATTGAACACAGAGGGTCCTGAATGTTGAGGCGCCGACAGAGGAGAGATTTTGGGTTTCTTTTCATATTTCCTTTTGGTTCGTACTGCCTCTGCCTTTTCAGGCTTTGGAAAGACAAAGAAAAAAACATGTTTATACTTGAGTCTGTKTAAGCTGAGACATTTCAAAATGGTAAACAATAATGTGGCTGGTAACTCAGAGTTTATAGACTGTGAACAGGCTCTTAAGAGACTGAAGGAACAACAGAGTGAAAAAAGAGGCATTGATATGCAGATAGAGGCACGTGCCAGATGCCACTGCTGAGCCAGATGGCTGTTATTCACCCACATGCCACCTTTCACCCCGACTTCCCCTGAGGGGGGGCACCTCCCTGTCTGAACAGACTCCAACTTTATGAGGATTAGTTGAATTCTTTTCAGCCCTCAGCGTTTGGGGACAAAGCAAACAGAGTGGAAGAGATTCTGCAGTGAAGAGCTGCCGTGTCAAATCAATGATGAAAATCAGAGCCGGGGGAAAGCAGGGTGGTGAAGTTAACGCAACAAAAAATGTGTACTTAAACAAGTTTGAGACGGTAACCAGTTGGAGAAAGGAACAGAAAGTGGGAGAAGCAGAACTAAAATCAGAACAGAGCAGAGGAATGGAGTTTTTGGTTACTGAAGCTGATACAGTTGGGAAATCTGTCATTGAGTGTTACAATAAAGTGTTTTTTATAAACAGTACATATACAAAAAGGTTTACAAATACTAGCGTTTAAAAACTAATTTCTCAGTTATTTGGTGTCATAATGACAAAGACAGAAAAAGATTTTTATGAACAGGAATGACAATACTGTGCATAATGTCTTGGCCCACATTCTTTTCATCATTTATACAATAGTTTTAATGCTTTAAAGTGACATTTAGGATCAGTCTTCCATGACATTTAGCTCATTATAGGTATTTTTAAAGTAACCAATTGGATTTATTTTTCAACCATTCTTGTGCATTTGATCTTTTTAGATTTTGTTTTGTTATGTCATGTAACAACCCATGAATCATCTAGATTAAATAAAGCTTCTAAACTGAAACAGTGTAGCATATACACAGAATAAACAGCTTGGAAACCTAAACATTTATGTGCAAAGACACAATTTGTTCCTATTTCTTTTATAAACAATCAGGGACAAGATCTCAACTAATATATAAAAAAAAAAAATAATAATAATAATAATAATAATAATAATAATAATAAACCTAAGACATATAAGATGATAGGTACACAATAATGTATAATCCACTTATGTCAGTTACTCTTTAATATAGCTCATATAGGATTTGTCAATCCCAAGAAACAATTTTTTAAGAAAATTATACTACAGCCTGAAAAGTACAGTACTTGCATTATATTTTTAACAAAGTTACACTTGTGAGTTTATTGATTCAAGAAGTTTTGGAGTGATGTAATGGGGAACAGCTGCAGTCTTTTATGTGATTTTGGAAAAATGGTTCACCCACACCCTGCAGATCCCAGCTTTCTGTTTACACACTCGGCTCACGTACTACAGCCTGGTTAATTGAACCAAAACAACCAAGCGTGTTGTTCCCCACAAATACACGTTTGTAGCTGTGATGGTATTGATTGTGCAAATCATATGAACCATCCAGAGACTACGATGACTACCTGATAAAGTGAAAAAACAGAATAATACTGGGATGTTTTGCATACAAATTTGTAGAAAATTTGGAACATGCAGGCAAACATTTACAGTGGTTCTAAAGTGTTGTAGGTAATGATTAGAACTATTTCATTGCTCTGGGCGTAAATAAAAAGGAAATGAAGACCTTATTTAAGTGCATGATCTTACTTTCTTATAGTCCTTCATGTCCATGTGGTCCTGGTGTCGGTACTGGTTGCTGTTGGACAGGGGAATGATGGGGATGGTGTAAATAGGCTTCACCAGGGCCCGCTGGGCCAGTGCTTCTGCCATCACCTCGCTGCCAAAATCTGGCATTACATTCCTAATGGATACAAAACAATGAAATGTAAGGGGAACAGGAGCCTTAAAAGGGGTCATACTTCCAATTAAACACAATTAAATATGTTAAAATTGACTGCCTAATAAAAAAAACACATTTAGAAAACAAACTTATTCTGATTTTTTTAAAAAGTTATACACTGCTGTGTAATCACAATCTTACTTTTGGCAACATTAAGTGCATTTCCAAAAACTACAAAATACAAATAATCTTGTAAATGCTATATTGTAAGTGTTCTTTACTATCCAAGTACTTTATGTTAACTCCAATTTCATAGGAAGGGCCAAAGACAGACCACTGACAGGTTTTCCCACAGTTTGGTTGGGTCACTCTACACAACAACAACATAACGAAGTGGTCCATAGAAGCCAGAGTGGTCCGGTCTGGGTGCAAACACTAGCTGTGATGCGCAGGCAGAAACCAGGCCAGGATAACAAGAGGAAATTGAAATGTCACTACAAATCAAAAGCACTTCAAGGAGAAGGRTCCAATTTAAGCTTCCATTGACAGCTACTTTCAGAGGAAACTCATTCTATTCGGATGKCATGTCTGGATGGATTGCAAACGCTCCTCTGACGGAAAAAAAATCAAGTAGAGCATGAAAAAAAGAATGTAAACAAACAACAAAACATTGCGCAATGCAACTATGTTATGTATACTACCTTACAGAATGGGATAAATGCACCCTCAGGCTAATATACTCCTGAGTCAATATTTCTGAGTTGAACTCTAAAATTGACATTACAAGCATAACCGTGTCTACAACTTTGTCACCAATTAACAGGAGCAGCGAAGCTTGAGTTTACAGAGAATGTGGCTCAAGTTTATACTTGCAAACAAACAAGGAAATATTCTCAAACAAAAGTTTGAAGTATTTGATGTAGTCCAGGCCCAATTAGGGAAGTAAACTTTCCTTTTTTTACTCATTTAACATTCAGAAAACCAAAACAAAACAAAACCACATTCCATAAATTAATGACATAAACCCACCCTGTCAACTTCTCTTTAAACATTGCAACCCAACAAATGGAGCCAGTGTGGAATTTCACATATAAAACTTCACCCAAATTTTTTTAAATAAAAATAAACAATCCCCAAAAGCTTGCAAGTTAATGCAGCACCCTTAAATCCACCAATGACAATCAAACTTCACACACTAGTACCCTTACCGTTTTTCGACTACTTCCAGAGTGAGGTGTAGCAGTTCCCTTTTGACTTTCTCCCTCTTTTTGATCATCTCTAAGATGGTCACGGCTCGGCTCAGGTCCCTGCGCAACTTCAACATCTTCTCATACGACGCCTCGTCATTCTTTCGATTCTGAAAATGAAGCAAGAATAAATCAGACACTGTCGCAAGGTTTACATTTATACTAAGACTTTTTTTCCAAGCATTGCACTTGCAATTACATTACTATTCACACAAAAAAMCATTCAACTGGACTATTAGAATCACTTAACATCAAACTTCAAAGTGATTTCAAATTTGAAAGCCACTAGACATGAGCTGAAATATCATTTTAAATAATAGTTAATTTCCTAGTATTTACCTTGTAAAAATATATACACACTGTATACTGCATTTATTAAAACACACACACACACACACACACACACACACACACACACACACACACACACACACTTTAATCATGGAGTACTACCTTCCGGGTTTGCATCTTCTCTGTTCGGCGGCGGAAGGCCACGTAAGGGTCGCTGGTGCTGGAGCCATCCCTCTTCTCCTGCTTGACGTTAGGGATGAGGCAGCCACTCTTGGAAGTTTTCCTTTTGCGGCTCCAGTAGTCAAACACCTCCTTAATCAGCTCATCATCCTCCTTCAGCAGCAGTTTGGCTTCCTGGAGACTRACAGGCTGCAGAACAAGCACAGACAAGCCAAAGTAAGTGCAACGKCCACCTGAACATTAAACTAGTCATATTACAAACAACTAAACTAGTATCTATTAGTTACCTCAAAAAAAATATACTGGAAATGCCCTGATCTTTTTTTTTTGTTTACATGTCAAAGTGAGTCTATAATAAGCATTTGCTGACAAAGAATATTTGTTTGATAACGGCATTATTATTTAATTTAACTTTTATATAATTAGGGAAGAGATTGAAAACATTTTCAGGAGTGCTCTGGGTTTGTCATTATGTCACTTTGTCCCTTATCTATAATCCCTGCCCAGGTCCCCTTGCACTGACTCACTATATTGACTGTATATTCAGGAAKACAGTGTCAAAGAAAAATAGGGCTGGCTGTATACTTTCAATCTCATAAATAAAACTAGAAAAAAAAACTTCCCTGTAGGATTAAATGCTAATCAACTAATTCTCTTACTATGTGACTTGTTTTGTCAATCCTTCAAGATGATGAAGAAAAAACAGAAAAATACAAGTATGATCTAAACATTTTGACTGCATACATCAAAATGTTAGCCTTTATAAATACAATTGCATATTTAACAGAATGTTTTGCTGACATTTAAAAAGAGAGAGAGAACTGCCACATAAAAAACTCACCACCTAATTTGATAATATACAGGCAAAGAAATAGTTTTCTTCACTTCAGTATCATCAATATGTCAAGCAGTGAAAGAACTGATGTTTGCACCAGTATAATCAAGTACCTCCTCTTCTTTTACCTCCTCTTACAGAGAATCAAATACCTGCTGTCCGCTGCCTTTTTCCAGTCGATCTATCATTTCTTCAAACTGTAAGAGGGAGATTTCCATTTTCTTTTTCAGCTTATTCACAAACGTYTCATCCTCTGAATCCAGGTCATAGTCTGGCAGCTCTGTATCCAAACTGAAAGCTGTAAAATAATTTTAAAAAACATGTTACAGGCGTGACAAACAGAGAAAATCTTTTTTCTTTAAAGTGATGACTTGTTAAATATTTGCACAACACTGCACAATTATTAGAAGTGATTCATCATCCCCCTTTATCAAGACATTGTTACTGATGCATGCGTCAACTTCATGAATCAAGACGACAAGGAAGACTCACCCAAACAAAGTTTTCTAAATGTTTGCATTTTTACTTATTTTAAAATTGTAAAAAATCAAATGCATAAATGAATAATTGGCCATTGGCTTTAAGATTTTTTTTTAAATGCCGCTATGTGAAAGCATCTAAATAAACATCACCACATGCTCACAGACACAGTAAGAATCCAGTCCAGCTGCAGACAGCCTGCTACTCACGCTGTATGTGAATAAGCTGCTTTGGCATTTTGAACTCCCCAGGGTACAGGGACTCGTAGTGCGTGATGTTGCACTCTGCCTCGGGGACGGGGATAACCATGTTGTCCCGCTTCTCGCCATAAACCTGCTGTGCCGAAATAGCCCGCTGGAGATGGTGCTCCTGGAAGACAGAATAAGACTGCTATTTTAAAAAATTGGACTGATTTGCCTCTGACATTGTACAACACATTTAATATCAAGCTGAAGTTTAATTTTAAAATTTTCTTTTTTAGAATACCTACCTACCTACCTACCTACCTACCTAATTATAAAAACATATAGACTAAATTATTTCCACTTTTATTTGGGCATATTCAAGACTTTTTAATAACTGAATTCCAAGCTTTTTTTGAACATCTACACACACTTGATGGAACAACCAGATCATATCATCTGTGATCTCATGTTAGCCTGTATATTCCATTCTACAGTGATGGCACATCTCAGAAAAATGTGTCATCTGTAGGAAAAGCTTGGAGTACCAGCAAATATGCTAAAACGCAATATGTTTCAAGAAGCTTTATAAAGTTAGTATAAAACAGAAATGCTGCAGCTTATTACAAATGCAGTCTTCTGCTGTGGTATACAGCATTTGTTGGCCTGTTCTGTAGTTGATGCAGCAGATGGCCAATGCAGCCAAACTGACTCGAAGCCCATCTTGCTCCAACAAGTATTTTAACAGAGCTCCTACTCATTTTACACGCAACACAGTGTTCACAGCAACAGTTACTTAGCTAGATTTTTAGATATGGGTCAGTAAATACATCCAGTGGATGAGCATCAATTCAACTTAACAGCATATTCTGTTACGGTATTCTATTAAATGAACCGTTTTAGTTGTTAACACTGGATAGTGAATATGAGTTAAAATGATCAAAACTTCAAGAGCTTTGCATCAAGTTAGATGAAAACAACAACTCTGTTGTGAAATGGCACAAAAAGAAACAGCATGACTTTAGAGCCAGTTCATCTGCCTGAGATAAAAGTCATACTTTGTCATTCGCTGTATAGCACACACAAAAAACATCAAGACAAAAAATACCCCCAGAAGGACAAACATTTCATATACTCTACTACTTTGGTGTTGTAGATTAAATAGCTAAGAAAGTCAATCATCAGTGTCAACATAACTAATAGTAGGCCTTACTGTTTGTGTTATTTAATGTTTACAAGCAAACTAATATTCATTTTATCAACACATTATTAGACACAGGAATGTTGCGGAGAAGCTGAAGATAAACAGAACATGTGCTGTTTGTAGGTTGACTGCAGTCTAAAGCCTGAAACATACTTGCTGCGAACTGCCGACGTCGGCACGGGTTGTCGCAGTTTAATGACGAAAATTACGTCACCGGGCTTCTCAGCGTCGTGTCGACAGCCCCTTTTGGCACAACCCGCCGGCAGAACTTTTTGACCCCCCTCCAGTGTCGACGGTAATGTGTGATTGGTCTGAAGTGTGTGGGTTTTTTTTTTTGTGCTAAACCCCCCCGGGGGGGGGGGGACGACTCGCTCCCAGACTAGAAAGCAGAGTTTTATAAGATAGTCAAACCGTGAAAAATTTATGGCTTGTTTGTTTGTGCTGAATGCGCTGCTGCACTCTGTTAAAAAAAAAGGAGGGGAAAAAAGCCCCGACTAGCTCCTAGAGCCGACAACAGGAAGTAGAGTTTTATAAAGACAGTCATTACATGGAAAACTCATGGAGATAAAACAGACGTTGTGCACGGAGGAATCTGACTGACAAAAACTGTGGAGCTTTGACAGATGTGGATAAATTTGTCGGATGAGTGACGAGTCTGACTTTTTTTCTGCATTATCGGCTGTTGCKGGGKAACTCCATGCAGTGACGTATGTTTCAGGGAGGGGGGTTTCTCGAACTCGGCGCGGGGGTGTCGTAGGGACTATGAAAGGTCTGTGCAAAAAAACACTGCCGAACAACCACGTGACCGYGCRTCGACCCATCGGTGTCGGAGTGAATATGTTTCAGGCGTAARTTTAAGTTCAAGTCAACAAATGACTATTTTTCTTCTGTTGCGTCTTGCTGCCAAAAACCATATCAGGGCCTGAAAACTGGGTATTTCCAGATTCAATTTTGAACAACTGAAGAAGATAGAGATGCTTCATCCATTACAACAGCTATTCTATAGTACAAGAAGGTACGAGGAACGCAAGTGCACTCACGCAACTCTGGCTAACAGCTAGTTCATGCTTTCAATATTGAATGTGAACAAACCTTTTAAGACCTCACTGCTAATACRCAAGTGGTCATGCTATTTTTGAATCAGGTGAACCCAGTACCACCATTTGAACTGGAGGTTGCCCAGGTGCCTGCATAGTAAGTGCTTATAGTCTGCTGGTGGACATGGAATAATTAAAGATGGTGAGATTTACATCTATTAGGTCAAAAATGGAAGCTATGCAAAGTCTGAACAGTAGCACTAAAACACAATGTCAACATTAGTTTGATTTCAAAATTATCAGCCATTTCCCTGAACTGGCACCAAAGGAATAGTTTAAATACAAATTAGTTTCCACAGGCTAGAACTAAAGTAAAAAGGGTTACAGAGTATGACTAAAGTGATGAAGATAACCATTAAATCACTGTGGTTCAAAACTGTGACCCATACCAGCAAAATGGGTCAGAATGAGCTCAGAATGCAGAGCAACAAAAGTAAAAGTATTCCTCATTTAGCTTTAAAACAAAGTTTCCAACATGTTCATCTTCAGAAATAATGTTTTTAATTTCCCTTGAAAAAGATCATTTTTCTCTGCCAGCTGCAGTAGCACTGGCAAGTATTCGAATGTTTGGCATCATTAGGAAGCTTGGGGATTCCCCCTTTTAAATGTAGCATTTAAACGCTCAATGACATTGGTCCAGACAAATAAAAATTAAGTTTTCAAACAAGACGTAATTGTGAAGCTTTTTTAGGTGTAGAAAAWTAATTTTGAAAAATTCCCCATTGACTTATGCCAGCAAGGACCATCTATGTTTCTTACCCTTTTATGGCAAATTTTTAATCCACATTCTATAYATAAAAACAATTTTACCCAAGTTGAATAGAATGACAAAAAAACTGCAAGGTTATTTTACTGCAAACTGGCTTTTCTACAGACATTTCGAGTTCAAAMGTGTGCAATATTTATTTCTAAACCTTGCTACATACTTAAAATATAAAGCATCATTCTGTGAAACTCATACAGGAAAATGTGTWAAGTGAGATTAAAAGGATAACACAACTAGCATCATACTGTGTGATAATGAAACAGACTGGAACACTCCAAGTTACAATGATTGTAAGGCTTAAAGTTACAGCACTCTGTTGAAAAAAACTCAACAAGTACCTGCTTAATAAAGTAGTTCTGTACATTAACAACAATTTTAAACTATAAGCATTCAAAACTAACACTATAATAAAAGGTAAACAGTTTTGTCTTCAGTATTTTCCAATGGCATTTATAAATATGGATCGGTGCCAAGCTCCCAGTCTGACACACAGATGAACTTTGTGGTTTGCGAGCTGAAGAACCTGCATAAATAGTTCATGTAGAGCRAATTAAACTTGAGCCAGACCTGCCTTTGCAAGTTACTGCGGAGAATATCACCTTGGCAGCTTGCATCAGGCTGCCCTAACTCTGCTAGAGACATCCTGATCTTTCACAGCTTTGATCCTTGCACCCATGCTTCACAGCGTGGGATTTCCTCTGCTGAGCAGTTAGACAAGTGGAGATTAAGGACTTTCWTGAATGGCACATGGGAAGAACCAGGTTATTCTAGGGCCTACTACTACTACAGCTTCAAAGTTTACCTTTACAATTAAGCATTGCTTATCTCTACTTTAATGTGCACTGTAGATTTTTAAAATTAAGAAAAAATAGGAGGTGTATAGCAGAATGAAAGAGCCCACATCAGTTGAATCAGATATTGCACTCACTTGACTGTTTTCCTCAAGCACAACTTGGCTTTTTTTACTGTTTTAAATGCAACTTTGTCAAAATATACATATAACCAAAATAACAATAGCTGAAAAGCCAGTAAATCACTCATGATCTTCATTGTGCTTTGCACAAAACAGACTTTTGCAGCCAACTACTGTCACTATGTCCCGTCTAGGGCTGCCGCAAACGATTATTTTAATAATCGATTAATCACCGATTATTTATTTGATTAGTCGACTAATCA